CCCCAAAACCCCAAAACCCCAAAACCCCAGTAGTATCTGCTGAAGTTGAAAATATTAAAATTTATAAATTTTAGAAAATTTATCAGCAAATGGATATCACACAATTTCAGATTCGTTTATCGATGAATAGGGCTGAAGTTCCAAGGTTGGGGAGATCTAAGGATGATGAAGAAAATTACCGGAATCTCCGTGATATCGAATGGCTCGAAGGCGATAATTCAAAAGGTTGACCGCTCACTATATTTCAAAATTAGATTAAATGATTAAAGAATTTGCTAATAAGCTCTAAAAACCTCTAAGAGTACCATTCTGCACTGTTTTACACTTACTTCTATAAACTTTCTTAAATTTTCTCTTAGAAATGAGCTTGAGGCCTTTCTTAGCTATATAGCAATGAGTCTGGTGTGATCCAAAGAAGCTGATCGTAAACGTATGTAAACATTATATTACAAACCACTTACTTTTCATGGTTGTTCATAGCTCATCCTTTCTTTTATGATTCAACATATTCTTCTTTCTTTTCAAAATAATATTATTTAGAGTTTCTTTCTTGACTAGAAGATTTTGTTTTAAACACATTCAGCATGTTGATCGGATAGACTTACTTGGGTCTTCCTGCGAAAGGGTTTGAAGGATTGAACTCCCTACTGGTCTTAGCTTAGACACTAGGGTATTTCAGCAATCAATGACAGGCCTCAGCTCTCTTGGATAAGGCATCACTAAATTTCTGAGTTTACTGAGTGTTTCAAGGATCAGTTCTGGAGACTTAGCCCAGTTTTTATCAATGCTATCAAGAGATCGACACCTTTCTTGGTGTTTGATTTCATCAGTAGCATTAATTTCTAAAGAGTTTTGGAAAGAGTTACCAATCAAAATTTTCAATTAGGCCGATTGCTTGAGTAACTGTATCCTCAAAATCTTGGGCTAATTGCCCATCCAAGACTGTGGCTAGACACAACTTTTGTTTGAGGAAATTTTGTATGAAAGCAAACTGTCCCTCAATGTTATGCTGAAAGGCAGTTTTTCAGTTTAGTACCTAAATAATATGCCTTATTTTATCAATAAAGATTAAGTCAAATTCTGCTAATGATTATCACTTGAATGAAAATTTTGAGAGATTAGGATACTAAGTTAAGCCAGATATGTCTTAGATTAATTTAATATCTGGGTTTATATTTTAACCACAAAGAGAAATCTGGTGGAGTTACAAACATACTTGAACCCGAGGCAATAATCCTTTTGAGATAATGGGTTTCTGAAGCTTGGGTGTATACTGGACTAAAGATTATAAGCTCGTTACCTGATTTCTTTAGAGTCATCCAAGAGTAATTAACACTTGAGTTGACCTTCATTCTCTTTTGAATACGCCTATTTGCTCTCTATAAATCTGATTTATTAACTTACATTATGAAGTTTAGGAGACAAAGTCTTGTCTAAGCTTCCGATAGGATTATAAGAGCGAGGATCTGATTTCTCAAATTTGAAATTTTTCTTTAATCTTGCTCTATCGTTTGATAATTGTGGCAGCTTCGACTGAGAGTCGTTGTTTGAATTTGAAGAATCATTGCTTCAACTGTTGATTGGACTCATTGACTTCGTCACATCTGATTCTTCCTTTATCTCTTTTTGAGTCATCATTGCTAAGAGTTAGGAAAATCATACTGCTGGATAACATTGTGTTATTTCGTTTAATGATATAGTTTTTCACATTCGAGAGAGGACTATGGTATCAGAAACTTCAATTTTACCTATTAATCTGTCCTCTAAAAAGACTTTTTAATATTCTTAGTGTTTCCTGAATTAACAACTTGTGAAAGTTGTCTCTTAATCTTTTTCTCTGGAGAACCTCAGTTAGTAATTTCACCTCTCACAGTACTGTTCTGATCTTCCTTCGCAAGAATGGAAAAATCTCTTGGATTTGATCTGAATCTTCTCTTTCCAGTGTCATCAAAGAAAGCGTTAATGACATGTTTCTAAACATATTTCTTCACTCTACCTTATATCTGTGCTTGGATTCCTTAATAATCAACTTGAGGTCCTGCATCTCGCTCACATAATCCTTAAAGTGGTCCTGACAGATTTTGAATTGGTCTTTAAGGCCCCGTAACTTCTTGGCTGAATTCTGCAATACTTTAGGAGCATTCCCTCCTCTGACTTTGCTCTTGAGTTCTTCTTCTTTGATTTTATATTTCTTCCTGTATTTATTTATCATTATTTGAGGAGAGCATGCTCATCATCTGGGTTTGGCTGCCTCTACAAGAGAGAAGGTTGGCAATAAGTGCCCACCCTTCCTCTTTATGACTAAATCTTAAGTTCTGGTTATAAGCTGTGGATTAGGAGAAATTTTACTGTTATAATTGCTCTCTCTCTTAAAATTTTCTATGTCTTGGAATGTATTCATCATTATTTTCGATAATGCTGGCTTTTTATTCACGATCATTAAACTTTTACTAGGATTATTATCTCTATTAGAGGATTTAGAGGCTGAAAGAGAGTCCCTCTGGTTTTGTAGTGGAGAAGCCATAGACAGCCTATGCTTTAGAGCAACAGTACTTTTTGGTCATCTGAGAAGAGGGTTTAACCAATTTTTGTATTTCCTTTTGCAATCTATTATTAGGTCTGACTACAAAGTAAAATTAATTCCTACATGAATTATTTTCGTAGTGTTAGTTCTAAATGTAAAGAAGAATGTACATACGAGCTTCTTTACCCCCAATGTTGTAATTTAAAGTAGTTCCTGCAATTGGAGGTTCCAACAATTTTGGTTCTACAGGATGAATCTGAAAAAGGCAACTTCTTACCAGCTTCAGTCTTCTCCACGCTTTCACCATCACTGACTTGATTTTCAAATTCACTGGCTTCTTGATACTTGCTCTCATTACGCTTATTTATATCAATGGTGATTGATCGAATATAATTTTTCATGCTAAGGAATCTTCGAGGGAGTATCTTCTTTTTATTTTTGAATTGGCTTTGGACATTCCCTTCACTCCGTAAGATATTCTTATTACTCCCATTACTAAAGGATCATTATGTGGATGTTACCTCTTGGTATTAGAGCCCTTATCAGCAATTAGCAAAAGTTTGTTGACCTAAGAAGTTTTCTTCAAATGAAGTACCTGTCTTTGACTATTGCTGGCATTAACTTTTGATCTCTTACTTTTCCTCATATTCTGACTTTTGGGTGATTTCAATAACTAAAGGATTACAGGAAACTAACGGGAGTAACCTTGACTTCGTATTTATGATCAATAGTATTTTTAGCTGTGGGATTAGATGAGATATTCATACTTTTACTCCTATTTCTTGGAACCCTCTTTGAAACTATGTTAGGTTTTGGAAAGGTTTCTCTAATCTCAGATGGGATTGAGACATGTCATTCAGGAGAAACAGTAAATTTCGCATTAATTTTACTATTTGAAGAGTCTAAAGTTATTTTTATAAATTACAATGAGATTTTACACCTGCCTTGGTTGATGAATGAGAGGCTATTACTTGATTTGAGCCCTCTGAATTAGTCTCTACTGGATAATCACCTATAAGCACTTTTAAATAATCAAAAGTACTTTCATTAATTTTGATTTTGATCTCAGATACTTGATTTTCTTCCATTTTGAAAGTCCTTAGAGTAACGATTTTTATTTAATTTAAGTAAAAATATGGGGTTTTGGGGTTTTGGGGTTTTGGGGTTTTGGGG